CCTTTTTCTTGATATCAAATGAAAGATCTTGTGATTTTGAAGACTTTTTGTTCAACAACTATTCAGAGATTTCTTTTCGTTATGGAGATATGCTGAATGGAAATATTTAGGGGCCACCCCTCCAAGTCCTTAATGGGGCCGTTTGACAAAAATTAAAAGGGTGCATATTGTTTAGAACATTATTCAGACCATATTTTGTTCAGTATCGCTTATCAAAATATTCCCCCTTTTCGAGATATAAAGCGTCAAAGATTTAGCATTCTGGCCCCTTGTGACCCCTTATTACATAACATATAATCAGAATCTTATCATATATTGTCGTAAATTGTTAAGATAAGCATCTTTGCTTCAGTAATGTATTACAAATTATTGATCGTTAAAGAGTTATAGGTGAAAGACTATTGGCCCCTCTGAGTCCCTAATTTGAGGGGTCAGCCCCTTTTTCTTGATATCAAATGAAAGGTCTTGCGATTTTGAAGACTTTTTGTTCAACAACTATTCAGAGATTTCTTTTCGTTATGGAAATATGCTGAATGGAAATATTTAGGGGCCACCCCTCCAAGTCCTTAATGGGGCCGTTTGACAAAAATTGAAAGGGTGCATACTGTTTAGAACATTATTCTGACCATATTTTGTTCAGTATCGCTTATCAAAATATTCCCCCTTTTCGAGATATAAAGCGTCAAAGATTTAGCATTCTGGCCCCTTGTGACCCCTTATTACATAAAATATAATCAGAATCTTATCATATATTGTCGTAAATTGTTAAGATAAGCATCTTTGCTTCAGTAATGTATTACAAATTATTGATCGTTAAAGAGTTATAGGTGAAAGACTATTGGCCCCTCTGAGTCCCTAATTTGAGGGGCCAGCCCCTTTTTCTTGATATCAAATGAAAGGTCTTGTGATTTTGAAGACTTTTTATTCAACAACTATTCAGAGATTTCTTTTCGTTGTGGAGATATGCTGAATGGAAATATTTAGGGGCCACCCCTCCAAGTCCTTAATGGGGCCGTTTGACAAAAATTGAAAGGGTGCATATTGTTTAGAACATTATTCTGACCATCTTTTGTTCAGTATTGCTTATCAAAATATTCCCCCTTTTCGAGATATAAAGCGTCAAAGATTTAGTATTCTGGCCCCTTGTGACCCCTTATTATGTAACATATGATCAAAATCTTATAATATATTGATGTAAATCGTTAAGATAAGCATCTTTGTTTCAATAATGTATTACAAATTATTGATCGTTAAAGAGTTATAGGTTGAAGACTTTTGGCCCCTCTGAGACCCTAATTTGAGGGGTCAGCCCCTTTTTCTTGATATCAAATGAAAGGTCGTATCATTCTGCACACCTTTTCTTCTATATGTTTTAACAAATTCTTAACATGTATGAAGATACAAAAGAAAAGGTGTAAAATTTTGTGAGATGTTTCTGAGACATTTTTTGAGCCCTACCGAGCTTCGGCGCCTTTTGAGCTAGAGAGATTTGGACACCTGCCTGCAAATCTACAAACCTTCCCCTACCTTCACTGAAAATCGTGACTCAATATCTTAAGCCGTTTCGGAGGAGTTTCCAGGACAGGCCGACCCTCTGAAAATCAGAAAATCCTAAATATCTCGAGATGGAAAGTGACGTAATCAACGAAAAAAATTTCCAATAAGGTTCAGATCAATACCTATCAGATCTGAAAGTGTCATGAAAATCGGCCAAGACGTTACCGAGAACTTGCGTGCACAAAATCGGTAAGAATAATAATAATAATAATAATAGGGAAAAAGAAACCGAACGAAAACAATAAGGTCTTCCGTTGGAGACGGAAGACCTTAACTAGACGAGCTTGTTGCAAAGCAACAAATAAGTCTTCCGTCTAAATCTTAAGGAGATGAGATTGAGATCGAGAGACTTCTATGGTCATATGTGCAAAATTGAGCCATTTACCATTACTCTCGGCGTGACGGAAGTGACGTCATTTTGACGACTTTTAATGCTCTCTTAGCTGCTACTTGTCATTTTGAACAACTTTGCTTCTATGAAGCTATACAAATTCTCAATACTTTCTGGGATATCAGAAAAACAATTTTGGCCCCTCTAGCTCCCCAGTGTTAGGGGCCAGGCCCTTATTGTTGGTATCCTCTGAAAGATCGTAACATTCTATACAACTTTTTCTATATGTTTTAATTATAAGATATTAAAGAAAAAGTGTTAGAAAATTTAAAATTCCCGATAGGACTTTTTCGGGCCATAGCGAGCGCCGACGTGCGGCAGTTCCGGTAAAAATGAAATAAGTTAGGCATATCTACGGACATAGGTCTACCATACCTGAACTTTTCATGTTTCTAACTAAAGCCGTATATGAGAAAATCTTGGGACAACCCGACCCTTCGAAAACCATTAAATCGGCAATATCTCCAGACCGGAAGTGACGTCATCAAAACAGAAAAAACGCATAAGGTTGTGACCGGAAGTGACGTCATTTTGACGACTCTTAATGGTCTCCTTAGCTGCTACTTGTCATTTTGAACAACTTTGCTTCTATGATGCTATACAAATTCTCAATACGTTTTGAGATATCAGGAAAAGAATTTTGGTCCCTCTAACTCCCTAATTTTAGGGGTCAGGCCCTAATTGTTGATATCCTTTGAAAGATCGTAACATTCTACACAACTTTTGCTCTATATGTTTTAACAAAATATTTACAGGTAAAAAGCTATTATAGAAAAAGCGTTGATTAATTTGAAATTTTCGATATGCCTTTTTTCGGACCATAGCGAGCGCCGACGTGCGGCATTTCCAGTAAAAATGAAATAGGTTACGCATATCTGCAGACATAGGTCTATCATACCTGAAAGTTGAATGATTCTATCTAGAGCCATTCATAAGAAAATTTCCGGACAACCCGACCTTTCAAAAATTATTAAATTGACAATATCTCCGGACCGGAAGTGACATCATCAAAACAGAAAAAAACCGCATAATGTTCAAGTGATGATACATAAGTCCTGAAAATTTCACGGAAATCCAGCCGTTTTCGAGAAATCGCGTGCACAAAATCGATAAGAAAAAAAAAAACAATAATAAAAGTGAAAAAGAAACCTAAGAATAACAAGAAGGTCTTCCGCTGAAGACGAAAGACCTTAATAATCTTAACCATCAGAATCAGTAGAAGGTCTCCCGCTGGAGCGGAAGACCTTAACAATAAAATGTCTTTGTTTGTTAGTACGGGAATTAACGCTTACGCGGGTTATGCATTTTTTCTCCAACAGCTGCAACATTTATTCCCGTACTTACAACCAAAGAAAGCATTTTATTGTTTAAATAAACAGAAACTGATTTTTTAAATGCTTTTACTAAATATTGATCGTGCACGATTTCCTAAACCCTTTCTTTGTCGTGCGCCGTAGAACCCTATCTTGTGGACATTTCAACATAACAAAATCCTTTTTCCTGACTATATTTAATTATTTTTTAAAATAAATTTTCACTCAACACTTGCTAAAATATCAGCTACGCGGGTCCTTTATTTTTCATTAAAAACTTACAATTTTATCTTACGATTTCCCCGAACAACCCTTAAATATAATAAATTTTAAATCCCAGAAATACATGTAGCTGTAAGTTAGAAAAGCAAAAGCTACAAATTGTAGGTATTTATCCCATGTTTCAGAACTTCTTGGAAAACCTATTATTAAATTTTCTCAAATTCTTAAGTAGTGCCTAATTTGGTAAATTTTTATTTAATCAACGTACATATATGTATATTACCTTCTTTTAAATAATGTTAACGTCATGTCGTTACAGTACATATAACATCAAAGTAATGACGTCGTATATTTCATTTGAAAACAATGCCAAATTTGAACGACTGTGAAAAGAAAACTACAAAAGATATCGTTAAAAAAATTAAATTGTTTAATAACCTACTAATCCTAGATTATCACTTGAGAAAGTTTCATCTATTCTGGTAACAGGGCCGATTTTGATTCTTCATGGCTTTAGGTCTTTGGTGAGCGCGTCACCAAGTGAAATATTTTTTTTCAACTATCCGCTCCAGTATGTACATTATTTTATTAGATTAATACGAATTTAGAAAATTAAGATATTCTTTTGCATTAAAATGTACCTTAATTCACATAGTACCAAGAAATTATTACTGTAAGCCAATGCAACATGTATCTTGGTTCCATGTTTACTAAAATGTAGCAAAAACTTACGAATTTATTTATGCCATCTGTGATAAAGATATAATTATTTCTCTACCGTTGTCGATTAAGTTTGGGCATTCCACTCCTATAATAGGGAGTATTGAACTTTATTCAGCATATAAAATGTATGTATAGCAATATGAAATATATGTCAAATGTAGCCATGTTTACTAAATATTTAGAGATATAATCCAAAGAATTTCTTTACATCTTGAGAGGGTAAATTGTATATCAATGTTTTGTGTAGGTGGTCGATTTGGTTTTCTATGTTTTTTAAAGGCTTAATAAAAATTCCAAGCAGCCGAAAATGTTAACTTTGATTTGTGTGTGTGTGTGGGTGTGTGTGTGTGTGTGTGTGTGTCCTTTACTATGGCAACCAAGACAAATTAAATAAACAAAATATGTTTGTTTTATGTTTCTGGTGTCAAGCTTTAATAATGCACAAGTTTTTATTAAAATCGGTGACCATGCGTGCAAAAAACATTAAGTGGTCACGAAAAATAGCTGTGTAAGACATGTTAGATAGGCGCTTTGGATATTCCTGCTTTTTTGGGGTGTTTGTTAGTGATTCAATTACGACAATGTAGTGAGTTCTTTTTATTCTGAATTTCCAAATGAAGATAGATTTTGAACAGTATTTATCATTAAGGATTTAAAGTGTATAATAATCCTTATGCAATATAGCATTTAAATTTGAATACTTCGTATGTAATTGAAAAGCCTTAAATTTACTAAGGATACGAGGTCTTTTATATAGGTAAATAATTTAGATAAATATATATTTTGTTGCTTAGATCCATGTATTACACACAGCTGTCAACATATGTGTGTTAACACACCTTCAGGAGCCACCTGCCTCTGTGCTGAGGGCTATCAACTCTCCTCAGATGCAATGACATGCACAGGTAGGCGGTATATTTACACCTAAATTTCTAATGTTTTCTACATCCCTTTACATGTAGATCTTAAATTTCTTATGTTTTTCTAACATAGCCCATTGTTTTTCATGATATTCCGTGCCACTGCCCGTTAAAACTTGAAAATAACTTTTTGCCAATAATGAAAAAAGTGAAGACAACGAACAGTGATCGATCTCAAAAACCATCTTATGCCGATGAAGGGATTCCAATTTAGACCTTTACTCGACACGTAGGGCCATTGAGGGCTCTTTATCGTGCCAAGGCCTACATGTACCATGTCACGCGGGACCTCTGTTTTTAAGATCTCATCTGAAAAAAAACCCAGTGACATAGACTTCTAGTGCCGGGCGCTTGGGGAAAGAATAGTTACTTCCTATGTTCACGTCTTAGGTTTGACACAGCGCGGCGAACAAGAAGCAAACCAGGGGCTCCCGATCACGCAAATTTGGTATAAAAACAAAGGCCTAACAATTGGTATGAATCATGTCAGTCAAAAAGGTTATGTTTGCTTAAAACGTCATTACAAAGACCATAGAATTTATGAAATGCTGACTTTAAAGGAGGTTGTTGAAATCCCTGTAACATCAACGAACCTGTCATTAGCCTGCCCCGGTATAAAAAAAAATGTACTCAGAGCGTGCTCTTGAATATCGAATTGGTTGGGAGACGCAAACACCATATGCAAGTGAATATTACTACATTTAAAAAAAGGAAAGTTGACGTTGGAAAAACTGAAGTCATCTCGTTTGACTTACAATTTAGTTGTAAGTTTGCCGTTATCTTTTGTACTCATAAATGTGAATATCCTTTCAAATGCACAAGTATTAGAACGGTTAAAGTTGTATAAGCTCAGTTCATAAAAGAACAAACCAAAAAAGTAAAAGCACATAAAGTTAACATTTAAACAATCTTTTACCCTATGTCTACTAAAGATATTTTCTGCAATAATAACACCTTCCAATGACAACAGAGACACTAAAGAAAATGTTGACACCAATCATTGTTGAGTATAAAACCTTTATGAAGGAAACGTTCCAGTGATCAGTTTAAGAAGCTGACAACTTGCTTATACTAAATTGATACTAATATTTTTTTTGTTTTCTTTATTTTTTTTTTTTACCAAAACACAAATAAAAAACAGACCGCTCAAGATTCTACGAGAAAGGCTTCATTTTTAGCAATGCAACAGTGTTTTTCATGATAGACGTCCACTCTGTTAACGGACGACAAAGCGAAATGAAGCATTTAAAAAGTCCCTCCGCAAATATCGAAACTTTTGCTGTGAACTCGAACTCACATATTATCTACTTTGTGGACAGCAGTAATAATACATTAAAGGAGTTCAACATCATCACAGAACAAACAAGGATTTTAGCGTCTGTTTTAAATGCTAGAGGTAAGAATATTCAAAACATTAATTTATAAACTTACATTATGAGAGCAAATTTCACTCATGCCACATTATTTTTTTCATCCATGTCATCAATTATTTGACTTTTGAAAAGGTTTAAGAATATACGATTGTTTTTAACAAATTTCTTTTATAACACTTTAAAACTCATCCAAAACAGTGTTTCGAATTAAAACTTGATAAACAAACTTTATTTTCTCTAGACCTGATTTTTGACTGGAATGCGAATCTTCTCGGATGGATAGACCTTTCCCAATCAAACATACAAGTCTTTTCCTTAAATTCTTGGACAATATCAACCATTTACTCAGGACTTGAGCAACCAGTATCTCTTACTGTCGACGCTGACCATGGGTTCGTCTTAGTATTATCACTTACTTAAAATATGCTTATCAAAGTTTGGAAAAAAATAGCTCGATCTTTAAGTTTGTAGATTAAGAATTTACATACATTTTAGCTACCTATTTTGGATATCGGGGACATCGGCAAAGTCAATTTTGAGAGGAAACTGGAATAGAAATGATTATAGTATTATAGTGTCATCTAGCAGCCTAGACAACCCAGGTTCACTTTATTATGATGTTACAAGCCATAGGTAAAGTTACCAATAGCAAAATTAAGATATAATCAATTTGTACTAGAAAAAAGCAAGGGGAAACAAGCGTTACTACTTTTAATTAAACGGATTAGACAGACTTTTGAAAGTATGATGAAGCCGTCAAAACGCTGAATAATATTTAAGCTCCACAAAATCTTAAATACTGTTCTCCGGAGGTTTCGTGATTTCAAAATATGATAACATCTTAAATCTTTATCTTTTTCTATAAAAATCAAAAATAATGGAAACAAAGGTTTACAGTCCAACACACTTCACGGCTATGATAATCTACCATATTGTAAGCTATTCATCCTAATATGTTTCTGAAATTCAATCATCTAAGACTTTATTTCAACGAAAACTTTGCAAATAATATTATTTCCGAGAATGATATTTTTTTCTCAAAATGCAGAGAACATTTTCCACCATTAAATACTGTAAAATGTCCTTTTTCCGGATTTCTTGGATTGTCAAGTATCTTAAAAAAGTATGCTGTGAAAAATTTCCACTGGAATTTTGAGACTGCTTATATAGCGTAAATTGATCCCTCGTAAAAAAGTACCATTACAGTATATAAACTCACAATTTTAGAAATCAGAAGTTTCTTTGTCCTTTAATTTGATAAAAAAATTTAGATGAGGAATATTTGCTTTTTTACCCCTGTTTTAAACTTTAAGGATCTACTGGCTTGATAACTCATTGATTAAAAGTTCAATGGTCAATGGAACTGACATCAAAACTTACAGCATAATCACATTTGGAGCAACAAGGGCATTTGCTTATAAGGTAAATTTCAACTGTACCTTCTACGTCTTTTTACGTCTGATGGGTTCTTATAAAACCATGGTTTTTAAATGTATGTCGCCAAAATGCATGTTATCATTCAGAATTTTTAAAAAAAAAAAAATCATTAAAAGTAAGAGAAATGGGCTCTAGGGGTTTCACAAGGTACATATAGACACCCTTTCATGCATTCCGTTTTGAAATATACATGTACATGCTGTGTGGATTTTGAGAAAATGTTAAGTATTGTAATTAATAGCATTAAATTTTCTGTTTACTGATGCACCTTGTAGTTTTGAATAGTTAGATGGTTAGATTTAGAATTAATAATGTTGTGAATCATTTTTGCTTATATATATGAAAACGTTGAACATTTGGGTTTGTTGGATATTTTTTACATCGCAGTGGCTTAGGATTTATATGCAATTGATCTAGACTCGTTATCTTCACATTTTTCATCAAGGCATTACACCGAGATAACTTCAATTCAAACCAGATACACCACTTTGAAAGATATTAAACAATACAAAAAAGATTGTTATAGTACGAGTTATTCTTAATACATGTATTATTATGTAGTAGTTGACAGAGTTTTGAAATTACCTTTTTTCATTTAAATGTTTCGAACAACTATTCACGTATAGATTCTCTTAAATCAATTTATCTACAGGCTTTGTGAATTAAGCATGTAACAAAAATACATTTGATACTACTGTTCTAAAAATAAAGGTAATGATTCATGTATAAAATAAGATATTTAAAATTCATAGCCTCAGACTGTCTATGCAAGATAAGACTGTCTAAGATAATACTGTCTAGTACAAGTATGTAAAAAAGATAAACTTTTAATGTGAAATCTATTTATACATAATAATATTTCAATGTTTTAATGTATATCTTTTTTTTATTCTACAGCTTAATATCATGCATATGTATAACAACCTTCGCATCGATAAAAGAAATTTTTATACTTGTAAATAAATTGAAAATGTAGTAATTATTTTTGCATCTTTTCTAATATGAATTCACTTAAAACATTCTTATACCTATTCTAGTAGCATAATGAATTTCATAATTATTAAAGGATTATTTTGGTTGGACGTCGGGGAGTACCATATATTTTGCGAGAAAGTTTGTATCAACTTCAGAAGACTCATTCAATTTAGTACCAAATATGAAGGGAGTCACTGTGTTTGACTCCTCGTTGCAACAAGATAATAGAGGTGAACTATACAAAGCTGTAAATTTAAATTCAAATGTATGTATTAACACACGATTTGGATGTTTATTTCATGTTTTTACGTAACAGGCACCTGTCATTTCTTAAATGGTGGTTGTGAGAATATCTGCATTCCACTACAAAGTGGACGAAAATGTCAATGTGATCTTGGTCTGAAGCTTCAACCTGATTTAACGTGTGACAATGGTGAGCATTTGGTTTCTATTGATTAATACTTATATTTAACACCCATATTTAAAGTGTATATTCAGCTATTATAAAACACATAATAAAGAGATGATTTCTGTACTTAACAGGATGGAGAGAAAAATCGAAATCGGGTATTATCCGTTAAATCGCGTATAGTCCCCGATTTCAGGGTATCGTTGAATCCGCGGAATCGGGTATCCCGTGCAACTTTCTGTGAAAGCAAAAAAAAATTAAGCAACAGCGCATAACGTCAGTTAGTTTTACATGTACATCAGTATCTTGGGTATTTATTTTTATTGAATCCAATTTATATGTTTGTCTAACAAGTTTAAAATCACTCCTGGGGTAGCACAGAAGACACGGTGGCGTCATTATTTTTCAATTCAATTTCTAAAAGCAAATAACTACATGTCGTTTGTGTTTATTTCCCAATAAATTATTCCACAAGCTTAATTTCCTAACTGATGAATTATTTACAAAATGTAAAACTTTGTAGAAATTTAACGACTTACGCTGTGTTTTGTATTTTTTACGTAGAAAAGTATTGCGCCCCTTTCACGTTAAATTTAAATTATTCCTCAGTTGGTAGGTATTTCTCACCGATATAGAATGTAAGGGGAAAATAAAATAAAAGTTTAAAAAAAAGGAACATATGGGAAAACAGCTTTAAAAATGATATGATATGATACAAATTTAATATGTACATGTATTGAAATACATTTTTAAAAATATATACACTGTACAGACTAAATGTCCATGAAGAAGGGTGGGGGGGGTGGGGGGGTGGGGGGGTACATGTCTTATAATGTCTAAGCGATTTTTAAAACGCTATTTGGTATCAATGATAAAATCCTTTAAAAAGAATATTGATGACTACCCTAACTCATCTGGAAAATCTGCAGCAAAATTAAATTGTAATGAATCGATTTCGACTTCTTTATCAACATTTTCCCGAACTTTTTCGTAGATTTATGGCTTTTCCCTTAATTCTGTAACACTCGGAACTCGAGAGTTTCCCGCTAGATGTCGTTTCTGCATCACTTCTGTAATTTCTACTTTGACATTTCCAAATCTTGTAGCATTTTTCACGTTTGACGATGAATACTCGGATTACTGTGGAATGCCTGGGAAATTAACAACACGATTAAAGACAAAAATATCTACCGAAACAAGATATAATGACACATTTTGGTGACATATAGTAGGTATATGATATTTTAGGCCCAGTATCCAAGAGGGGTCCAGTGTCAACAAATGGAAGTGACTTACCCTCTCTATTTTATAATATTGCGAATATGATTTTTTAATAAAACGTTAATTCTACCTTATTTTTTGGATTTTTCATATGGAATACATTGTAATGTGTACTAGAAGATTAATTTATGGAGAAAGACGAATAAAAATATCCTTGGACCCAGGATGTATATTCGGGTGGTGGGGTGGGGGAGGGGGGGGGAGGTGATCCTGTCCACAAGCACGTATGGATCGGACAAGGAATAATTAAAAAAATGATTTTTTTTTCTCTAGTACCGGTAAGCAGTAACAACCGTTACAGCTATTCAATCACCCCCCCCCCCCATACGCTAAGTCGATCGCCGAAGAATGGTAAAATATTGCCGACTCTGCAAAATTAAACAATCAATACATTTTATCTCACAAGCTGAGTTGCTAAGAACATCATTGTCGTTGCTGAAACGTTGGAGCATGTTGAATCCAAAGGAAATTTTATTTTTTTATTTTATTTTTTTTTTTTTGAATAAGAAAAGAAAGAATATGTCGCCTTTTTATAACTTCTGGAAATTACCTTTATTTGTTATTCTCTTCTTGTAAAGCATATGTACTGGTACATGTACAAGATATAGGGTGTCTCAACAAAGATGTCTATGTTTTTGCACAATAATAAAATATTTACAAAATTATAACTGTATTTCATGGCACATTTTCCGGCAATGTAATTGTGATATAAACAATATAAAATAACTTCATTATATTTTTCCATTGAAGATTTGATTACATCTTCAAAAATCAGGTTGTCAGGTTTTTTCTCCAAAATGGATCTACGGATGTGTTCAACAAATCAACACAAACAGAAAAATCTCCAAAATCACCAATACTAGTGCATAAGATTTTAAAAGAGAAGTGCTCATATGAAAACCATCTTTCTAGGAAACAGACTTTTTAAAAGATGTCAAAACCATACAGAACTTCAGAGAAAAAATGAGGATGCTGACTTAAAAACACTGCGGCATTTTCGAGCACATAAAAATTATTAATGACGTTAAATTGAAAACTGCTGCTGAAGTTCAAAATTTAAGAATGCCTGTCTTAAAAAAATAATTGATTCAGCATCAAGTCAAATTTCATATTGATAAAATTGTTTGGATATGTGGTTTTCATTTTGCAAATATTTTCTTATATTAATACTGTGTAACTTAATATTGAAACCGCAAAGTCGGGACATGTTTGTTGAAACACCTTGTATATATGAAAGGAATGCTTTTCTGCAAATATGTATAAAAAATCAAAATAACCCCCCCCCCAAAAAAAAAGATTACGTATGTACGTGTTATATTGGATTTTAACCGTAGTTTGAAACATCTTAACCATTAAATAATTAGTACATTTTGTAATATATTTGATTTTATGCACAAGATATTTAACAGTTCTGTTGATTTGGGTATGACTTTGAAGAAGTTGCGAATACTTTTAACATTATGAATAATGTAAAGCAAACGCTCCACGGGTATTTGTTGTCATATGCGCATTAATTAAGACTTCCTGATCGTTACTTGGCTAGTGAAACCTTTAGATAACATTTGTCTCTAGGTGAAAATTGACTAGGAAAAATGCACCATCCCATTGTTGAAGTTTTATAAGGATGTTGCGCACGATGTTGGTGTCAAAAAGTCAAAATTTCCATTGCGGCAGCATTTGCACTATTTTTATAATTTTGAAACAATTTTAAAACACATATGAAAACTATATATCATTCGATCGGTAATTGTATACTTAATACATTTTAAAATATATTGGTCAAAAATATTCCTTTTATCAAATAATTATATGAAATCGACTATTCCGTCAATTACGTCCAAAACGCATGTAGATATGTAACGGGAGCGTCGCACATGTAATAACAAAATGTTGATAACCTCCATAAAACAAACAATACAATCGTAAAATTTAGCAGAAAAATTCAAAATATGATGTTAATGACGTAAATTCTTAGAACTGTGATGTCATCCAATCCGTATGCTGTGAACGCGTCGCTCAAATTGCAAGACAGAGATGTAGATAAGCGTTAACGAAGACTTATGGATGAACATGAAATGTCCTTGGGTTCTTAGAAAAATATTAAATAAGCTAAATCAATTATGAAATTACATTTCGATAATCCTTTTGGTGTGTAAAGAACTATTTTTTAAGAATAGTATGATATTTTATGTTCATATGTATGTTGGGTACCTGACATTTAGAAGATTCATTGGGAGGATATTGAATAAGATGGTTTGTCACAAGTTTGGAAGTTCAGTGTCACAAAGTATTTAAGATCCGTAGAATGGTTAATTTTGTAATACTGAGTGAAAAAAAAAATCAATGTTAAATATTTTTTTAAATTCTACGAAAAAGTTGTCATGTTATTAAGAAAAACATATCTAAACAGACTTTTAACTTGGGATGTCGTAAATGATAAGAATAATTGCCCCGTCACATATATGTACAACATGTAGCTATGTGTCACAATGAAATTTGACGGCAAAAACGTCACATTTAAATTCGACACTCAATAAATTGCTTTCATTTTTAGAATTAATTTTTCTAATTTGGAACCATACGATATTAAATACAAAATGTGCAAAATCAAAGCTTCAATGGGATATAAAATTGAACTGATTCTTGATAGAAGTGTTTGTTTTAGAGGCTATCTGCGATGTCAACATTGAATGTCACACACATGTCTAAGACTAATAAATCTAATTATCACGATAAAACTGTGGTTGGATAAATCATATATGTAGTCATTAAATATAGACATATTGAAAATTAAACGATTTTTATTGAATGTGCATCTCTTCAAAAAGTTATAAGTATATTCCAAATTAATATCACTAGAATAGCGACAAAATCCTAACAAAAAATAAATGTCAACATGCTATGTCACAGACGTAAAAATAAGGCGTTTTTGACGTTATTACGTGCACTTGCATAAGATATCATCTAAAACATGTAAAGATTTTATCCAAAGACTTACTCTTTTTGCTAATATGGATGAAATAAAAATCACAGGCGCCTGAAGTGTGGATCGATAGCCCCCCCCCCCCTTTTTTAATTAGAAAAAAATGTAAGAGCTTATAATTTCTCAAAAATATAAAAATTTCCCCATCAATCACATCCATACATGAATGTCGTTCTATGCAAGCAGATTGTACTTTTTCTTACGTTTAGAGAATGGTCTTGTACGGTATGATAGAAATACACAAGGTAAGAAACAAAATTTGTAAACAAACGGGGGGTTCCCGGCTTCGAGACATATTTCCAAGGTAATAACAGTGTTACATATAATTTTGCAAGCACTCTGTCAAGGAGATGTTCTTCTACTAATCTCTTTAACCTAAACCCCATCATAAGTGTTTTATATGTCGTAATCGGACGATTTATTAATCGGATACATATTTTTTTTTCCATTGTCAGCTTAGAATGAGGTTTTGGAGTTCGAACATCCGTCTCTGATTGGTCAAAGATTTAAACTATATCACTGTTATCTGCATAAGTATCATAAGGAGTACGAAAATGAAATATTATCCAGATCTGCGAGACACGTTGCAACGCAAATAAAAAGGGGGGTGTAAGGAAAAAAACTTAAATATTTTTTTTAAATAAATGCAAAACCTCGAAACTGTCCCACATCGAAAATCCTTTTCATTGAGAAAATTGGGAAGGGTGGGGGGGGGGGGGGGGGGTTCGATTCTCGGTTTCGTTTCCCTTCATTTTTTTTAAATCAATTATTTGAAGTAGTTAGATATACTGTAACAAAAAGAAGTACTCAGTATGTAAGTGTTTATGCGAGGGCGGGGGTTAAAGGTGAGGTGGGAATAGGGGCTTTGAATGAAAAAATTAAATTCAATGCTAAATCAGCAACATATCTACACTATACTGAAAACAGAGGCTTAGTTCTAGGGCCTGCTAATATGACATGGTATTGATTTGAATGTATCTCAATAAAATAAAAAGCAAGTAAATTTGAATATGATGTCAAAGAAATTTTGTAGTTTCTACATAGCATTTCATTAAATGAGGCAAATTAATGTGCACATATTTCCCTCCCGCAATATGCATGCAAAATTGCAGAGAATTTAATTATTTTCAATGAACTGCATTGTGTATTTGACAACATACTAGGTTTACATTTTTCCTTTCACAGAAAATGTAGGTCAAAAAAGTAATGTCAAATTAGTTTTCTAACGTCACGTAATCTAACGTCATTTTGACGTTACCGAAATTGACGCCAACATCGTGCGCGACGTTCTTGGTAATTACACCGCCTATACCCGATTTCGCGGATACAACAATACCCCGATTTCAGGGACTATATGCGATTTCAAGGATAATACCTAATTTCGAGTATTATCCCCAACCTGTTTAAGAATGTAATGACTGGCGATAATGAAATAAGCTCAATAAATTAAAGTTGTAATTTTAAATTGGTAGATATCTATATGACGAATTTCATTGTTGTGTCGGATTTTACTCACGGAAGGATTCTGCAGATTGATCTCAACACAGGGAATGTGACCAAGCTGCCAATAATTACACAAAAGCCTTCTGCTATTATGCTCGACAAGTCAACAATGGAACTATACTTTTCTGACTACTCTACAAAATCAATCATGTCATCTACGCTTCATGGAAAAAATAAAACCTTAGTTCATTTAACAGGTCCTTCATATTTATACTTTTATTTTAAATGAAAAATGAGTTCATTGTAACATGTATTGAGGTTTTTCCCCCTTAATTTACAATTTGCTATTCATATTAACAGGACTTGCTTTTGTCGAGGTAATGGCTATTGACCATTCAACAGGGAACATTTACTATACAGCAGTGGGGTCAACCACTATTCAAAGTTATATTGGGGTTGTAAAAAGATTCAATTCACTTCATAAGACTTTGCTCTCTAAACTACAAAGTCCAAGAGCAATTGTGCTATATCCATCAAAAGGGTACATATACACTATTTCTTCATAAGTATAAAAAAAAATATAAAATGAATTTTTGAATATATCGATTTAAGAACTGTTAACCACTATGATATTTGAATTTGTGAAATATTACATTGTTTACAAAATAATATTTACGTTCGTTACTTTAATCCTTTTCCTTGTTTAGCATCATGTATTGGACAGAGTATGAAAACGTGCCACAAATAGGTCGATCTTATATGGACGGAACTTCAAAAAATTACATAGTAACAAATGACCTTGGGTTGCCAAATGGCCTTACAATTGACTTTGAAAGTAAGTTCAGAAAAAATTCCTACTAGGAAGTAATTCCATATTGTAAAATAAGGACAATTTTCAATTTTCAAACATCTGATTGATGTTTGTTTGTTTGTTTGTTTTTTGTTTATTTTTTTTGTTTGTTTTTTTTTTTTTAGCTAGCAGGCTTTACTGGACAGACGGGCGTAAGAATCGCATAGAGTACTCAGACTTAAATGGAGGAAATAGACATATTCTAACAACCGATACTGACGCAGTTTTGATGAAGATTGTGATTTCTGGACAACACCTGTTTTACACTGCATGGAATAGACAGTTATCTATATTTTTTTTGAATATATTTTTGACAATTCAATAATCAAATACCAATGCAGAAATATGCAGATCATCTTTGAAGATAAAATGCGGTCCTGATAAATAATCAATCATTTTTTTTTAATTATTTTTACATCAAATGAATATTCATAATAGTTTGTTTTCTAATTTGATTTTTTTTTCATTTTAATAATAAGGATAAATTTTCTAATGTCCCAAATGAAAAATTCTAGAAGAGCGATCAAAATACTCATATTTTTAAATTAAAATATTGACTTTTTTGCCACTCTAAAACTTTAAACTTGAAAAAGGAACTCATTGATTTTTTTTTTTTTTTTTTTTTTTTGTTAAAGCCTATTACTTTTGGCGTTAAAATATAACATGCATTAAGTTATGATATGTATCGTTTTTATTCCAACCAGTCAGAGACTTAAAAGCTTGATTGCTCTATTCTGTTTATCAAGATTATTCAAATACATGTATATATAAAAAAAGAATTGGATGCTAAAAATTTTGATAAAAAATTTGCAATAACAAACAAAATTGTATATATTGATATTTGTTTGGATCCATGTGATATTATTCTACTGTATAAGGGGAAAATAACTCGCGGTGTAAATATTCGCTATATTCACGGTGTTGATAAATCCGTGATTTCAAGAAACAGTGAATAAGTTTTCAATAAACTGTTTTTTGGAAATATGAGTATAGACTACGATTTACATACAATAGTCATTCAGTAATTATGAGTGGTACTTGTCAATTATTTTGATTCTAAAGCCTTACTTAACTTAAATCAGCAGATAATGACCTGTACTTATTGTTGAAAAGCTGTTTTAATAGCCAACGCTTCATGTTTGATCAATCAAAGCACGTGGGTGGTGGGTATTGATTACTGATTACCTGTGCGTATCTTATATTACCATTATTATTATTAGTTTTTTCTCGACGTTTTGGTTAAAAAAATATTAATTCAAATAACTCACTCTGGAACTTACTGTAGATAAGAAAATATTTTATTTCGTCAATGCACATCGACACAATTATTATTGTGTGGTGGTTTTCGATGCTATGTATTATTCCTTTGGAAAGAATATCTTGGGATGTACACGCACTCATCATAATAACATACAGGAAAGTCATTCGCCATTTATAGTCAAAGATGTTTGACGTTAATTGTTTTCATTAATTGTAAATTAAATACCAAATCTGATCACTTTATTTAAACCTCCCAGAGTATTGTTTATGAAGTGAATACATAACGATGATGCATGTCGTTCTACAGCCAAGGGAGGTAACTTTTATGTTACACCAATTCCGCGAATTCATCAAACCGCGATCGTGTCAGAGGAGAGAAAAACGTGAAAATTACAACCCGTGAAATTAATCCCCTATACAGTATATGTTTCATGTCATAAGTAATGACATTTTCATTGTTCTTTCTAATACCATTTTAAATATTTTTGTTACAAATAGACGAATAACAAAAATGGACAAATCAACAGGGTCAAAAATTACTTTTATGTCAAAACATCCAGAGCTTGGGAGACTTGACAGCTTAGCAATATTTGCAGATGAAATAGTAGATGGTAAATCAATTTAATTATTCCTTATAATGGGATGTCGACAGTAGCTAGCAATTATATACTAAAATGAGTTTAAAATGTCTGCTTAATTTTAGTGAATCCTATTTGCTCGAAGAAAAACGGTGGATGTAGTACGTTCTGCTTTCCAACACCAAGCGGAAGAGCATGTGGATGCCAGGATAATGTTAATTTACAATCTGACCAAAAAACATGTGAAGGAGGTTCACATCATTTTGTTGTTAATTTCTACCATTATCGATTAAAATAAACAAATTCATATTTATGTTTTTATTATGACAGGATATTGACTGAATATCGGGAAATTAACCCGCCCAGGGTTTTGGCGCAGTAAAGCAAACCGAGCTTGCAATCAACCCAAAGACGGAAGGAGGGATTTCCCAATATTTAGTCAATAACCTTTACAGCATCTTTAACATTTTAACAACTTAAGTATAATTTATCGATTATTTTACAATTAATCGGATATTGGTGACGTCAAATGACATTTATGTTATTCCATTAAGGATGTGGGTATCAATAATTATTCTTTTTCAAACATCTAGATATTCCCGATTTTTTTCAATAGAATTTCTAACCTTTTTGTTAAATATACCATCAGTAAATTTATTAAATATGATTTTATGAATCACAATTCATTTACATTTGTTCTTGTTAGTGATTCTCTGTCCATCATCCATTGAGAATGCTGTGATGTCATCCAGTTGTAGTAGAAGAGCTGGTGAATCGTGTGAAATCACATGCCTTGAAGGAAACACTTCTCACAGCATAGTTTGCACCAGTGAAGGAACCTGGAACCAAGACACAAGAAGACTATGTTTAAGTGAGACAATAGCTAATATTGATAAATTTGTAAATGGAATATGTAATAATTGAAATAATATTTTGGATAATTATAGATAGACGATAAAAATGCTCAGTATTTTCCAATTATTTTTTTTCCAATGTCAGAACTCTGCATGATTGCAATTTGTTGCAATCGTATTAGCTGTCAAAAGTCACCAGTTCTTTGTATCATATAGTTAATTACGTTGCACAATTAGGAGATTTTGCCAAAGTGAAGGTAAATGTCATAAGTAAAATCGTCATTTAAGCAGGTTGTGGCTGTTACAAAAACAATATTAAATGACAATGTAATCAACTGTCAGTCAAATGTAGGAGACATATTAAGATATGAATGTATAAGCCCTTTCAGAAATAATCTTTCCCTTCCAAATATTACATACAACTCAAATTGAGAATATTTATGACACATTGAAAAAAAAAGTATGAAAGATGAATGAGAACATGTATATATAGTTGTTTACCAAAATGGAAATTTTTTTCAGTAAGATTATGTCCATCAACAATCAAAAATGGAAAGCTTCAATCTGTATTTATATCAGGCTTGGGGCGAATTACATTGGAAAGTAATGCATTACATTACCATTACTTCAAGAATTTGGGCATTAAATTACCATTACCATTACTCTAATTTCTTAAAGTAATGCATTACATTACCATTACTTTAGTAAAGTAATGCATTACCATTACCATTACTTTTGGGGTTTTTAAAAATATAAATACAAAACTTTGCAACTATTTTCATAAGCATGAATCAAACCCCTTCAAAACTAAACATAACGAATGATAATTCAAATTTGATTTCAAGTACTTGTATTTATTACACTGTAAATAACCTACATATCTTTTTATTATTCATAGTCAGCGAGTGATAGGAAGTTCAAACTTTTCAATTGTCAGTAAGATAAAACAATTGTACAATATGCACTTTTTTTGTAACTACATGTATTGATGTCATAAAGAATTTAACTTCTGGGGCACTTTAACCCCTGCCCAAAACTATCTAATAATTAAGCGTAGATCATTTGGACCTAGTACCTTATGAAGAAAAAAATAAATGCATTGACAAACTTGTAAAAAAGGGTTGGACAGTATGTACATTTTGCTCTGCTAAACATAGAATGCCTGCATGTCTTCTGTTCCTTTTGGTACAATGGATTTGTCATGGTCAACTCAAGCTAGACCAGCTCAATTAATGTTTTGTAAACACATTTAGGAGAAAGGGACTGGTAATTTGGAGCACTTCTCAAAACAATGCATTGTTTTAATTATTACCGTACATAACCCCAGAGGTATAGTTTGTTTCGAAAACACTCTAGCTATTCAGAAGATGGCAATTATCAGTTTACAGTGTATATTAATTTGTGTACCTCATATCGGAATTATTTTTAAAAAGATTTTATAAAAACTATTTTAAATAATTCTTTGAAGTCAAATCTGATCTAAAAAAAGTGTGATAATTTAAATGTAAAGTACCTAATCATGGTAATTGTACTTTCAACAGAATAAAAAGTGTATTTAAATAGATACAGAGAGTTTATTTAAGTAGGTTAACTTTTTCCATTCATCTCTATCATTTATAAAAAAGAAATTCCAGGTCCATTTTTATTTTTTAAAATAGGTACATACAAAATAATGCTTTGAAATGCTATGTAATGCCAGCATTACTCTGGATTTGATAAAGTAATGCACAACATTACCATTACATGTAATGCAAATTTTTTGGCATTACACATTACTAGCATTACTTCTAGTTCAAGTAATGCATTGCAATGCATTACCATTACAATTAGCATTACCCCAAGCCTTATATATATATATATATATATATATATATATATATATATATATATATATATATATATATATATATATATATATATATATATATATATATATATATATATTGTGAACTGCAAAAATGGCGTCTTGTGATTTGACGGAGAAGTTCACTTTAATCATATTATAGGCAAGAATATGCTTGTTGAAACAAGTAGTAAGCCGGCATTTATCCCGTCCTCTGTCAACATTTACCAAAGAGAGAAATTTCGACGATTAGACCTCAGAAAAAGGCAATAAGGGAGTCGACGGAAAAAGATTATTGACGAAAACTTGATTTGGACTGTTAAGAAAGTGATTAAGAACAACCGACGCCACACAAAATTTTAGAAATAATGACAGTTTTTAGGGTTAAAAAAGTAGAACATATTTTACTAGTTTTGTAGTTTTTAAGCTGGACCACAAATGGTGTATGGATGTACAAATGCTAAATGGATAAAGTAACCCAAACCGTACGGTATAAAAACACTAACTAAAGGGAAAATTATGTAAGTTCACATTTTTATAATACCCGTGACGTCATAGATTTTACTGCACCATGACTTAATGATATGTCCTTTTTAATCAACTGAATTAATTACCTCAATCAACAATATTTTGATATCAAAATTTGATGACCACGTAAGTTTTTAGATTCTTTTTATCATGTGTGACTTTTTTTTTTATTATGTCCGCAGCAATGTTACTTCGCGGAAATCAACCGAAATAAACGTGCATAAATACATACCTTTTTAAACTGAATTTATTTTTGTAAAGCTACTAGATCGTCACATGAATTGAATATTAATTGAAATAGCATTGCATACCCCGCTCTGTATTGAATTTGGTTTGGTCACGTTATTTGACAGTCATGTGAAAATGGCATGTGATGTGTACTGTATGTAGGTCATGAACAAATTTCAATATCGCAAGGGCATAGCATAGTTCAAATTAAAAATTTAAGCAATAAATTGTTTCTACATATCTTGTAGTTTATGGAAAGTGCTGCTGCTTTAAATAGAATTCGCATTTCATTAGTTTTAATTTCAAGTTAATTAGCTCTATAGCCGAAATATTTGTGACCTTCACCAAGTATTTTTTGTACATGTACATGTGTATTTCTTAAGTTATGCTTTCGTTTTCAGGAAAGAAGCAGTACTTTTCAAGTTAAGGAATGTTTCCGTTATGCATATTTAAAAAATGGCCAAGATCTATAAACTCTATGCCCTTGCAAAAACGCGATTTATTGAGGCAACTCGTCGTTGAAACATGCAAACCCTGTACAAAAAACACGGTATAATTATTGTATTCTCTCGATGATGGCAGTAAACAAAGATTTCAGATTTGCATTAATGGTATACCTAACATTTGTAAATAATGTTCTTTTTAATAATAAAATGCATTTTTCACTGTGAAAAAATTACTTGATCCGCCTCTCACTGCACATTTTACCTGATGATGTCATTTGACAAGTGCACCGCGATCAGTGACTTGTTTATATCTTGCTGTGTGGGATTTAACTAGAGATAAAAATGAATGCAGTGGTAAGTTTGGATGTAGTCCATTACTCGTATGAATGTTTAAAATCGCAAATAACTTCATTTTCTGTTATTGTGATGAATTGCTATTTTTGTGTGATGTCACAGTAAGTATTTCCCGTATAATATAGGTCCCGCTCCCTTCTAAGCAGCCTTAACAGAGCTGCCTCGTCAAATGTTTTTCTGTGCAACAAGTCCGCGTAATTTTTGAACGTCCCCTGTACTTTTTAAAAAAGTTTTATTTTATAACTTTTAAGTATATACAGCTTTTTTTCGTTTGTATAATTACTGCATCCCCCCCCCCCCCAAAAAAAAAAAAATCATAACAAGCTAATATAGGTTGTATGAAAAAGAATAATCCTTTTCATTTTTTTAGCAAATATAAAGGAAGCGTAAAAATCAGATGTGTTTTTACACCTTTTCAACATTTCTGCGAAGGGACATTTTAACAAAAGTTAGTTTGCATACTTCTTTAACAATTAAACGAAAGAGCATGGCAATGGATTTCACTAGTAAAAAAAAAACAAAAACAAAAACAAAACAAACAAAGCATCATGATTCATTGACCTAAGATATTAAATTTTTAGATTAGTAATTCTCATTAACATATTTCCATTTTTTCTGTTTTTAAGAGGATATACCTAATGTTGAGAAAGCATCGTTAACTGGTGTTTACATTGGATCCTCGGTTGGAGGCTTCATCATTATTGTCACATTTATTACCGCCATATTTTGCTTCATCAAACGGAGAAAACCACCCATGTAAGTTTTTTATGCATAAAACAAGACTAGATTTTGATTATTGTTGAAGAATCGTTAAAGAATGTGATAGTGGATTCATTTTTAAAAAAGAAACAAATTTTTACAATTATTAAGTTGTATTAAGTGTAATTTATGAGTGTTATCCTTTCTTTAATGAATATATTCCGTCTCAGCTATGTTAAGGCTTCCTGTAGCTTTGAAATGCATTCAAAACACAATATTGCATTGCAAAGTCGGTTTTGATTTGATTTGAAAGTGATGTACTTAAGTACAGTCAATATATATATTGTAATCTGTATATATTTAAGCATTGAATTCTTACTTTTAGATTCCGTCGGTCCTATAACAGCACCTGGTCGTGCCGACAAAAACGAACAGGTGCTGCTGGAGGACCGACGACATCCAAATATAAGAATTTAATGCATATATTTACATTCTCTTCGTAATTGTTAATTTCGTTTTTCTTTTTTATGAATTTACCGCCTTTCAGAAAAGGTGTGCTCAGTAGACGTAAGAGCAGTTGTGACGTGGAAAATTAAATAACGCAAATGAATATTGCGAAGGGAGAAAATGCCAAATTAAATTTAAATGTATAATTGTTGTATTCGGATTTATGTAGTGAATGCGTTATAAATCCATTTATCACACCGCCCCACGTGGAAGGATGCGCGCGCAATATATGCGCAAGCATCTGTACATTCCATTCTCACACCATTTCCAAATGTTGCACGTTTAGGGTTTGCTGTGAATTTTTAAGAAAATTTAGAATATTGCACAATGACATTGTCAAAAGACTGTGGTGTACAAAGACGAGGTTTTACTGATTGTTTGCACTAATTGTACAGTTAGTGTACTTCAACATGCTAGAGTTTTTGACTTCGCGCCGAAGGGCTGTAAGGAGCGTATGGACGTTAGCCGAGGCTCTTACTTGTAGGAGTATTGTTGCTGTAAATATTGACCAAGATGTCCACAACATCTATAGTCGCCAAAGCCAAACAAGGCATTACAAAATTGAGAGAGAGAATAACGTCAATACCAGCAATGAGGAGGACATGCATAATACTACTACACACAGCACAAACGGTATGTCATCTTGTATGCCTACATCAATTATCAGTATAATGTTTCACTGTTGTATCAATTACATTTTTAAAAAATGCACAAGAAAATACTAAATGTTCAGTTAATCGATCATTCTGTTAAAATCAGTGGGAAAAGGCAAAGAATAAGCTAATCATTACAATTGTTTTTATTGTATTTAGTAGAATCTAAATTTAAGCACACCCCCTTCAACCACAGAGTTTAGAGCAATATAAATATAATTATGCACACGTTAAGATTGGGTTCCATAAACTTGAATTAATTTAACCTCATACTCTTAAGATCACGCACTCGGCATCGTCGGTCATTGTTCCGAGTATATACTTCATGGAGCCTTAATGTTATCGATATATGAGGCTATAATAATAAGACTAATTTATTTATTCGCCAATCAATGAGCTTTGAAAGGAGGGCATATATATATATAATTTATAAAAACAATACAATTAAGTTTATAGCAAGTAATGGCTGCATTACGTGCAATATTAACCTGATCCTCACTTGTAATATTTAACTGTCCTCGCTAGCACCCCTCATACAATTGAAAGACTAGTGTTTTGATGACAAATATCGTTACTTATTGTGTATATATGTGCACATTGTTATAAGATATGTATTTTAAGCTTGTTCTCCCTTCGATTAACATCTTCGTGTCCGTCCTCAACAAATCAGCAACTCCGGCCTGGGGAAACACTTTTTGAAACAGAAAACCTTAAATTTTGCCACTCCTTGGCATTCAATTAATAAACATCGGTCATTCTTAAGTAAATATTAAACTACTTCCAATATTTATGCATGTCATGTTCCACCAAAGCAAGAATTAGGCGATGAGTTGAGAAATGGTTTTAATTTAATTTAGGGCGCATGGAGTGAAGAGCAAATTAATTAATTAATTAATTGAAATTAATTTCAGTAGATCTGTATCAAGACAAATTCAGTATATGTTGCTGAGTGAAATAGCCATGGGCGAATGGCTGTTCCTTTTTCCTTAACACCTCTATCAAAACTAGGCCCATAAATCATGGAGGGGGATCAATATCCACATAACAATAAATCCAAAAATTTTATAGATTGAGGGCCATAATCGGTATGATAGCACCATTGATAAGAGCTTTACATGGCAAAATGGATACAAAAAAAAATCGTTTTTAGACTATTGTCTAGAAAACCAGATGATTTTTTGCGTACTTGGCTTCGTATAACTACTATGTCAAACGCCTTCCATTTGTTGTTACACATCATCACAAAAAAAATAAATAAATAAAGTGATTAGTACATTAATTAAACACAAATGAAATATTATCTTTTTTCAATGGGTCTTCAGGTCACAACCTGGTTCGAAATATGAAACGCATTTATTTATCTTGATGTCTTTCTGTTCAGCTCACGCCAACATTTGCTCAAAATTGATGACACGTTTGGCGATTTTGGTCAGCATTGGGAATTCTTCAATGCGTTGAACATTTGTTCCCGTCACAAAAATTAATTCATCTGGGTTTGGAAATTGATACATGTCAAGTTTGTATTCTGACGAAAAGCTAATTAAACCTAAGATTTTGCTGATAGGAAGGGCCAATAAATCTTAAAAGTCACTTCAAATGAAATGCAATTCTTTCAGTGCCGTCTTACCGCGCTGTTACCAGCGTTCCCACGATGCAATGATTGGCATAAAAAATGCAGCAACTTTTCATTTGTATAAAGACCATTTGTTTTTATGTCATTTAAATTTTGAATCACTTTATATTTATTTCTTTACGATATGGCTGATTAAGCAGTAATATTCTTTAGTTGAGCACGGTAAGCGCAGACGGAAGGCATACTGGCTGCGGGAAAGCCAGCATATGATTATACACCTATAATTGTAGTAAAGTTATTTTGGTTACGATTAGATCACACAACTTTATAAACAGACGTCAAAATATGTAAGATCTATACAGTTTGATTTGATGTTTAGTATATTTATAAATGACTTATACACGTTGTTAGATTTTACCTTATTAAATTGAGATCTCCATCTTAGAATTACTTGATCACACTTCACATGTTATCATCACGCAAGTACTATTTTATTTATCAACATTACTTACATATACAGTGTCAAATTTTATAATATACAAATACATGTATAGATTATTTAGTATGTATACACATAAATTGTTTGTACTGTTTGTAATTGTAGAAATCATGCTTGTTGTTTGTGATGCCTGAAAGGGCCCTGATTTGGAAACAAAGAATCTTATCTACCATACTATCATCATCAATAAATAAATAAATAAATAAATAAATAAATAAATAGTGTATTCCATCTCATGTCCTCATTAATGTTAATATGTATCCAACAGTAGACAATTAACTATCTTTAGTAAGAAAACCTTTTTATACTAAGCACTTTAAGTTTAAACTCGGCATTGCATAAGTAGAACCTCGTTATAAACGAGTACTTTCATCACGTAGACGTTAAACTGCGGGGGGGGGGGGGGGGGGCAGTAGGGTAAAGAGACACAGTTACTCTCTGTATTCTTAATTATTAGTCATGCACCATTGTTTACGAATCAGAGCAAACATTCCTGGTAATTTATTATTTATATTAACCTTAAACTAGATGTGTTGCGTCTCAATATAAATATATGCACTATACATGTAAATTATATTCTTTTAGAACTTGAAAAGCTACTTACTTTCATGCGAATCAATTCAATTATTTGGAAGAGAACAATTTAAATATTATCATTCATAGATTATAAACCCTGCAGTTCAATAGAATAAGAAAGACATTTGAACTTTTTCTCTAGATATTTGGTTCATCTGTTCATTTTAATCAGCAGTAAATTTTAGTATGTTGTAACAAAGCAAGAGAGGAATGTGCTAGAATGGGGTTCCTAATCCGATATTCTATTGCGGGGCAAATGACCTTGGCTGTGTAAAGATATGCATTGATAAAACTGCCGAATCCTTAAATAGTTCAGTAAAGTTAACTATAGGGTCGTTTCCAGATGTGATGGGAAGTTCGATCAGGAAAAAGATCGCAAAAGTAATTAACTCAGTTACCAAGCATAATTAATCTAGTTACAACAGAGGATATTTTATATATGCAATTCGTCGGGCAGTAAGCTAAAATTTTTAAAAGCGGGCTTAAAAACATAGTGAACTGCCAACTTGATTTAATATTATCATTTATAGTAGTAGTAATATCATTGATATATATTGTGGGGGTCACGGCTGGTTTTGTGAGTAGAGTGTTAAGCTACCCCCACGTTTGTGGCGGCGTGCATATTACATGAGTAACTATGCACGTTTGGCGGATTTAGCTTAACACAATTCATCTCGACTGGCGCCGCTGTGAACAGGGCGCGGCTGCAACATAATTATTTTGACAACTTGTCAATGGAAAACAATTTGACAGAACATTGATTAATTTATTGAAATATTGTTTGGCTTAAACATAAACTTACTACAATTCATTGAATTAAGTGAGCATTGATTGATTGAACATTGATTGATTGAACATTGATTGATTGAACATTGATTGATTGAATATTGATTGATTGATTGAATATTGATTGATATTATTGAAAATGGATTGATTCATTGGACTGAAACTTTTTGATTGATTCAACTGAATATTCATTAATTGATTGGATATTCATTAATTGAATTGATAAATTTATTGATTGATTGATTGAACTTGATATTGATTGATTCAATTGAATATTGATTGATTGATTGAATATTGTTTTATAAGGCTGGCGCACCGCAAAATTTGGAAAGCAAACGCCAGTCTTATAGTGTAAAAAATGACATGTGTACAGTTAATATTGATTGATTGATTGTTTGCTTTGATTGGAGGTGTGCCAAAAACCAATTGGGTCGGCACCCACTGAACACATGTATCTTAAATA